CATGTCAGCCACTGGCGCACATGTCAGCCACTGGCGCACATGTCAGCCACTGGCGCACATGTCAGCCACTAGTGTACACAAGGTATTCTTTTATCTAGATGCGTTAAGTCTAGTAGATAATATAGTTTACAAGTTAACTTCAAAACGAAATACGTAATATTTGTGGTAAGTCAAAACATTAACCATTTAAGTGAATGTAAAAGTTTGTCTTGTCAACTCCACGTCAGAAGTTGTCTAGTAGAACATCTTCACCAGTAACATTGTGAACAGTGAGCCGGTGTGTGTGACAACTTCAAATTACGTACAAGTTAAGATAAGTGACAAAGCGAATAGTTGTCTGCTGGTACCGGTCTATCAAACTTTTACTTAAACTGTAGCTTAAATTGAACATTTGTAATGTTATTTGTTTAAGCGATTTGGAAATGACTAAATGATGTTTTTAATCAGCTTACAATGTTTTCTGTTAAGAAAAGAGCAGGAGACATGGCGGCACCACGTTCTCGTTAACCAGTTTCACCTTTATTAGATTGTATTGTAAGTGAAGGACATTGCTACAACTAATGTTACATTTTTTACGTGCAGAATTGTAACACGACACGTTTGTCGCAACATAATATAACTAGGTCAGTATGAAGCGAGCGGCTGTGGGCGCAGGTGTGGGCGCGGCTGTGGGCGCGGCTGTGGGCGCTGCTGTGGGCGCTGCTTTGGCCACTGCTGTGGACGCAGCTGTGGGCGCTGCTGTGGGCGCGGCGGGGGCGTGCGGGCGGGGAGCGGGCGCGGGCGTACTAGCTGGCGACCTGGTGTGCGCGGGGCGGGGGGGCGCACTGTCCGAAGCTACCGCGCAGAGACTCCTCTATCAGCCGACACAGCTTGTCGCGGTCCGCCTGCAACACGCAACACGGTCGTCAGTGAGGGAGGGAGGGAGGGAGGGAGGGAGGTAGGGCGAGGAGAGGGCGTCGTAATCACCTCGTGTATGAAGCCGAGCTGCACGAGCTCGTGGGCGAGTGCGGGCGCGGAGTCCCGGCGCGAGACGGCGCATGTCAGCTGCCGGTTCATCTTGTCGTCCATGCGCAGCAGGATCGTCATCTGCACAATGCGTAATGTGACAATGTTAGTGTGTGTGGGGTGTGAGGGGGGCATGTGGGGGTGTGTGTGTGTACCAGGAGGTCGTGCGCGTCGTGGTGCGCGCGCGGCTTGAGGCTGCACATCATGTTGACGACGCGGCGGGTCTCGAGGTCGCGGGGCTCGGGCGAGGCGGGCGCGCTCTCTGCGGCGCGCTCGCACGGGGAGGCGGCGCGCCCCGCGCCCCACGCGTAGGCCGTCAGCGGGTAGATGCCGTACCTGACACACCGCGCATCAAATTACTCAAATACACCGTGTAACGTCGTCCTCCTCCGCCCACTGCTGGAAGTTACTGGCTCACTTGACGTCCTCGACGAACTTCTCGAGCTTCTCGGCGTGCGGCTGCAGGTCCCGCGCGGCGAGCTCGCAGCGCTGTCCGGCGCGCACGCACCAGGCCAGCGCCCCGCCCCCCGCACCTCCCGCCCCGCACACCACCTCGTCCGTTATAGTCTCCGAGATGTTGGCTGCGGGAACACGACACGCCGGAGCTTACATTTCATATCGATGATGCGACTATTTTTGCTGATTGAACGTGGAAAAATAAAAATCCAGATACGCGAGTAAATTTCGGCAATTTGTTATCTACGAATTACTTTACGGCGACTACGTATAACTAGAAGCCGACAACCCTCGCATTGATGTTAAACCTTGATAAAGAAAAAGTAAACTGACCAGTGGTGTTCACGAGCGTGTGCGCCGCTAATAATTTCAGGGAATGGACCTCGAAGAGCAGGGGGTGGAAGAGAAGTTCCCTCGCCGTCGGCCTTTTTGCTGGATCCTTATTTATACACCTGAAAACATGGAGCGGGGCATGTGAGTGTCGACATTCGGGACTGGGCGCGAGCACGCAGGTACAAGCACTCACCGGAGACGCGGGGGGACGGCGCGCCCTCGCGGAGACCTGCAATGTACCTGTATATGAAGTCCTTCTGTCTCGGCTCCTCCAACGACTCGACCGTCCTTACGATGTGCTCCTCCGTAACGTGGCTGCCCGAGTCGCCGTTGCCCTGAATTTCAAGAGCGGCGGTCTCCAGCGCGCACATTCCGAATGAGTAGATATCCATTGCGGGCGTCACCATTTGCGATGCTGATGCGGGGGAAATAAAGTTGCAATAAATACAAGTCACTACTCGGTTTCGCCTGCTGAAATCCTTGGCGCGTCGCCGTCGCTTCACCGCAAAAGTTAATCGGAACATAAACAAGGTTAAAGTTGAAAAAAACGGAGAGTCGAACTTCAAAGTGAAGCTTTTAGACGTGAAGGTGGAGCAAGCGACCAGCGCGGCAAGAATCCGAGCAAGGGAAACCGCGTGTGGGTGTGCGGCGCTCGGGGCACGGTGTGTACTTACATCCGTACTCTGGCGCGATGAGGTGCATGTTGCGCATGTTCTCGCGACAGGTCTTCACGTGGTGGTGGATGGCGTCGGGAGCCACGGAGCCGATTTTCACGAGGCCGTTGTGCTGGATGAAGATGGTGTCGCAGGTCAGGTTGCCGTGCACGATGGGCGGCACGCAGCCGTGAAGGTAACTGCAAACACGACACGTGCATTCCTCGATATAAATTATCTATACACACGACCGACGCGATTTGGACACTATCAATTAATATATTTTGTTAAACTCTCCACGGAGAATGTATTTGACTATTTAGTATGGGTACACAGAAGTGAGCGTGGTACCTGAGTGCGGAGAGGATCTGCGTGCACCAGCGCTTCCAGGCCTGCAGCGGCAACCGCTTCACGTTGCGCTTGGTGCGCTTCAGGAACTGCTTCAGTGAACCGCACGACATGTATTCCGTTATGAATATCACCTGATCACACAATTTTGTTGTTACTAAATCTAATGCAAACTGACAATGCTAATTTTGAAACCAATCACCAATATCAATTAATGTTTGCGATAGTTCATATCCTTGGTTGTTGACGATGTTGTTTATGAATCAACTTACTCTGGGCTTGTCGTTGTGCGTGTCGGTCCAGTAGCGGTGGAACTTGACAATGTTGGGATGCTCGAGCCGTGTGAGGTTATCGAACACGAGTTGAATCTTGTCCTCCTGCGCTTTAAAGTTCTTCCGCTCGGAGAACTGCACCTCGTTCCACACGACCTCTACGCCCTCCTCGGTGTCCATGGCGAGGTGTGCGCAGTCGATGCCCGGCACGTCGCGCTGTTCCACCTGCAACCCCATGAACGGCCAAACACTTAAATTATGGTTCCTTATATTAACTTAATTCAAGTGTCGGCAGAGATTTGACCCGCTTGAAATTTCCCGTTTAAAATACGATACCAAGGTTTTCTTCATTCATTTCTTAAATTAAGTGAGTACGTAATATAAATGTTAAGAATATATTTGGGTAAAGTTGTTGAAACGAAATACGAGAAGAAAATCGAGGACATGCATACTATATATAAATATTATCTTAATTGCGTACAGCGCAAAGGATCACATAACGAACATTTTATAATAACGCCGGCGGCCGATGATATCGTCTACATGGTTTCAATTTACATGCGGACATGACGTCTTTATGTCATACCTTTCTTGGACTTAAATACAAAATTAATTTATAGTCCCCATCTCTATAGAACTGTTATAAGACATTATTTACACAGGATATTTTATCTGACGATGCGTTATTATTCCTATTACTTGTTTGGTTACTTATCGATTTGCTAATTTCTACTAATAGAGCAACCACTTTACCTTTAGACTTTAATATATTGCGATTTCTAAACTCGCGAATGGTAGATATTTCACAGGTCCTAAAAGTCCCGAGTGACCTCAGAATGACATTTCGACCTTCAAGGAGCGAGCAATAGATGTAAATTAGCGATAAGTGACAGGAATTGTGCCATCTTTCCAACAAGCAATCATTCAATTGCAACTCTCATTATGCCATTTAAATAACAAGGGTATTACACTGCCGCGCTATTCAAAGCTCCCCACTAGAATACATAAACAAGCAATGTCTATAGCGTTAGTTAGCGAGACATGGTGCAAATTACATTTGATTACTTCTGCCGCATAGTGGAAAAAATGGTCTTACTTGTAAATCAATCATAAAATTTATTTCATTATGTGTTCGCCTTCAATCACATTAAAATTCATATAAAACGTACAAGTATTTGTAGTAAAAATTAATTATTTTTCTTAGAATGTTGTTGGATTAAGCCGTGAGAAAAAAAAATATTAAGTTGCAAATCCAGAAAACTCATTTAAATTAATGCGAAATTCAAATAGAAGTATAATCCTATATGTTTTTGCATTTTAATGAACAAAATAACACAGATATATTATAAGCTTATCGACTACATAGAGATGATGTCTGAGATTGTTTGTGAGTTGAAGATTTCTATCACATATCATATTCGTATTGAGAAGGACAAAATAAAAGAAAAAAACACTGGCACTTTATCTATGCAAATTGAAATAACAAATTCTTTAATATGCTAAAATTATCGATGAAAATTGTATAAAGATTATGATTATAATTATATTTATGTATGAAAAAATATCATCGGAGAATATACAAATATGAGTTGTATTCTATTTAAGTGCACATCTCTTGCAGCTTTGTTTCGTATGTCATTGATGATGTCAAAGCATGTGGCTCTCTGTTCCGCACCACGCCCCTCTCCACAAATTCACCAACAATTTTAGCACCTTATTGACGCCTACAAGGTTGTTTAAATGCAAGGAAAATCTGTGATTGCCGATGGCTGTTGTTGTTTCTTTCAAATGAAGTACAGACCAACTAGGAGTTACACTTTTTTAGGCATGTTATTGGATGTTCAAAAGATTTGTTGAATGTAAAATAATGAAGTGTTTAGTAATACAGTGCGTACTAAGTACACAGTAACAAATGATATTTGCAGGGGCCCGAGAGCCGAGACGCCTGGTATGGAAGCGACAAGCGGTTGTAATGTAAGCTGGATGTAAAGTTCGACGCAAACAAAAAGAAAAGGAACTTTAAGGATCGTGTCTAGGCCTATTTGCAGGAGCGTTTGTGTCGTTTTGTAGCGAATGCGGCACGGCGGCACGGCGACCGGCGTCCGATAGCGTCCGCGTCGCGGCGGCGTAGATAGCCGAGGTAAAATTAGCCCGGCGCTGACGAGCGATCATTAATTGTCCATTTGTTATTGATAAAGCAACGTGTAGCTGCGATAGAGGCCCGACCGGTACACAACTCTCGACACACTTTTACTAAGTCATTTATTAAAGACTTTTCTTTTTAATGTTTTATGGAGGCTGTCTATTGGTATTATGTATTGAAATTGCTTTATCAATAACGTTTATCATAGCTTTGCAAATAATAAAACATCATGAACAGATTAAGTACAGTGGTCTTCCTTGATCTTAAAATAGCTTACTCGCTGTACGGGCAACGGGACAAGGAAGCCCTTGTAATGTCTCCAGAGCGTATCATTTGCATGCGTTCAGTGTTACTATCTAATGAACTGAGTAATGAAAAGGATGTTGTTTTGTTCTCATAAATATTAAACAGAATGAAGAATATATTCCTACCAGAAACATGTTAGATTTGAGGTCACATTAAACGTCTTGTTATTTATTTTTATCTTTGTAGATGGGATTAAGAGCAAATTTCCTTATCATACACTACCGTAAAATATTATAAAAGTAACACTAATGCCAACAAATATTGAACACGGCAAAAGCATATTCATGCCTTCATTTCTTTTGAAGAACATTTTATAAATGTTTGTCAAACAATAACATTTATAAAAGCAGAAAGAACATCGCGCCGTATTCCCGAGCACTTCCGATCGATTATCATTTCACAAATAAAAAGCGATACTTGTGTAGTCAACTCGCCAAAATAAGGAAGTGCGGGTATTGAAATAAGATAATTATAATATCTTCCTTATTTTATTTCCTTGTATTTGCATGACAAGTTTTTTTATTACATGTCAATATTTCCTGATAATTTATGGCAGATATTATTTGCACACTTATGAAAGGTCAAAAGGCTGTCTTTTTATTACTAAAAAAGTTTTATTGTTTATTAAAAGCGATTTTACATCATAGAAGAGATGATATTATAAAATTACTGGTGTTAGAATGTTAACTCTATCTGTGGGTTCATATTTTTAGATTAGGTATTAGTTAATCTGATTCAATAAAGATTTATCTAAGATTAATTTTTAAGTTCCTACATGGCATTTGTTTCCTTTTTCACTTTTGTACGCAAAGAAATAAATCATTAATTAAGTACAAGATTGTGTATCGGGTCGATCGTGTGCAATCTACTTTCATAGGAAGCATGCAGTTTATGTTACATTGTAAAGTTGGTGATCACAATGCTGAACGGAAGATAACGTCCACCTGGCCCTTATGGTAGTGGGGAGAGGGACTGGGAGAAACTGCTTGCTACATCGAGAGGCAACTAATGAATGAAACGACTCTTAACCAAAGTCTTAAACATAAGATTTATTGGTAAGCGTATGGTATGGAGTATGAACTGTGTATTTCGCCTGCAGAGGTGCAAGAGATTTATAGAGTACATTATGGCTACGGACTAAATGCGAGTGCTGACCTACCGCAAGCTTAATTGCCGTGAAACAATATCGGCACGGACCGTCCGTCGCGGCGCAGCGGCGCAGCGGCGGAGTGCGTAAACTCCTTTGTTAGGTATACTGTGTACTTTTATAAACGTTGACATCTATTTACTATATAGTTACCATCACATTAAATATCATTCAAACTTGAAATTATCATGCGATGGACAATCCTGCGAAGGAGAGCGACAACATTGTTCTGATCTTGTCGTCAGCAGGACGTGTTACGCGTTATCACAATGGGGTTCATTCACTCCTGGTATGCGCTTGTGGGCGACGCAATTGCTCTATGGGCTGACAAGTGCACTTCGTCTATGTAATTAATAATATATTCAAGCTGGATAAACATCTAGAAATGAGGAGATGTATATCCAGTTAATATAAAAACTTGTAGTACAAAATATGAATTTAGAATGTCGAATCAGGTGCTGAGTGTGTAGCCTGATGACCTTTGTACCGCTGCCTGTCCATCGCAAACAATTGCGTAAACTACATTTCTTAGAACCGATGTATGTACATTGCAACCACTAACTGGAAGTTATGACAATATGCATAACAATTAAACAAACCATTATTACGTAGATAATGTCACATTTGCATTGCACAAATTAACTTAATGATCAGGTTCTCACTGTCAACTTTTCTGCCGTCACTAATATTGTTTGTCTCTGTCTTGTCAAAGAGACCGTGATAGATAACAAGTGCCAATACAATCGTAACATACATAAATATATTTCCAATATTTATTTAAAATAAAAACAAATATCGGCCCCTTCAAAACTACTGGTAAGACACATTATTGAACTAAGTGACATTTAGAAGAGAGAATATTCATCTGACGTCAGAAAACTAAAACAGCTGAGCAGATGGATCATCCAATAAACTTTAATAAAATTGGTTACTAAATAAAACAAATAACTGTTTGAGAACAAAGCTATTATAAAATATTGAAGAAGTTTTTGAAGGCTGAATTTAGCAAAGGTCAGCAAATATATTCAACATAAGTAAACATATAACCGGCTTTTGAGCGGAGCGGACGTTTCGATATTAAATTTGATGCAAATGCATTGCTGGAGTATTTGATTTTCTACTCGTATGCAAAGTCTGCAACATTTTGTAACATACGAGATTGCAGCAGGATGCAGAGCTTGATAACTCATAGAGATACACGTTTCATTGCACTTTATTTACTTTTCTAACTGCGCCGATTATAAAATTTACGTTTTCCCTTTACTTCGTCTTCTATCAAGGCTTACTTTGAAGATAATAACTTTATGCGCACTATTGCGAATTCGCAGCGTAAACAAACACATTTCCTTTAATGCCTTTCCAAGGATTCTCATGTGACTGTATTGCCGTGATATAGGAAATTGTCCGTCAGATCGCGGACAAACGTTAGTTTTAGCACCCGACAGTCTTGGAATTAGCGAGCACTAAGTGCGCGACGCGACAGACACACGCAAAACAAACGACCGGATATCTTTTGTCACATGTTAATTGTAAATGTTTGGCGATTTCAATATATATTACATCTTTTCGGTTTTGACCATACCTAAGATAAGCGTTAAATGGAGATGTTCCAATATGAATCCTGTAGAA